TCCTTAAATGGAAGATGTTTGGGATGACCAGAACCCTTCCTAGAGCTGGCCGTCCGGCCAAACTGAGCTATCGGGGGAGAAGAGCCTTGGTGAGAGAGGTAAAGAAGAACCCAAAGATCACTGTGGCTGAGCTCCAGAGATGCAGTCGGGAGATGGGAGAAAGTTGTAGAAAGTCAACCATCACTGCAGCCCTCCACCAGTCGGGGCTTTATGGCAGAATGGCCCGACGGAAGCCTCTCCTCAGTGCAAGACACATGAAAGCCCGCATGGAGTTTGCTAAAAAACACCTGAAGGACTCCAAGATGGTGAGAAATAAGATTCTGTATATATATATATATATATATATATACAGTATATACACACATACATAACATAGGAAACTATGTTTCAGTTCATTTAGCAATAATTACTTTAACAGTATCTTTACAGGATCTGAAAGACACATTCCTAGCTGTCTTCTAATACCTTTAAACTTAATCAAACAAACAAGCAAGACAAAATGTTCCCAAAAACCAATACTGACAAAAAATTTATATGAAAATGGATGCTCTTTTATTCAGCTAATTCTGAAAATCTGAGAAGGCACAGTGAACAGCTATTATTCTCTAGGATGGTGCCACTGTACACGGCATTCGCTGTAAATGGCATGAAGTTTGCACTTCTCTTGACACACTTACAGTTTTATTGTGACACTCAGGATGTGGCATTTTACAATTGAACTTATGAATCCAATTAAATATAATTACCTGCAAAATATAAAAGCATCTTTAACATTGACCTGAATTTTTATGAACACTTGAACACTGTTGAATGGACACCAGGCTAAAATCAGTTGCTTTTAGCACAAGATGTGCTCATGCAGTGTCTGATTAAGCCACTTTTCTATTTCAGGAAGATTCCAACAGTGTGGCTTATTAAGCATCCCAACATGACAATATTTAAATTTAGCATCTACAGTCAAACATTTTGTTAGTAAGCCTGCTGGAAATGCAACTGTCGGGACATTTTATTTCGGCTACTACCAAATCACAACACTAACATATAACAATTAATTTTTTTTACCTCTAGTTTGTGATACCCATCCACAAGCAACACTTATGATTTTCATTTAGTTTAACATCATGTACTAAAAACTAAAACTAAAATCTAAATAAAAAGGAATATATAAATGAAGGAATGAAGGAATGAATGAACGAATGAAAAATAAATAAAATAATAATAATTAATAAATAGCTATAATTGTATATCAATGATACTACAGTATTTAATGGTTTTCATACATTACAACTGCAAAATCTCTCATATGCCAGTTGATTGGAACGCACAGCATACAATAGAAAGGAACCCCCTGGGTTAAACAATTATTACTGAGATAATTTTAAGATTAGAGAGTAAGAGAGACACTGTGAGTTACAGTAGTAGAACAGTTAAGGAGCTTATATTCAAATCCCCTTTCATCTCTGGTTTATCCTCCAGCTTGTATCCACACACAATCATACACACACACTTAATATGCAAGAATAAATGTTGATTTTTCTGCCTTTTTCTGCTGGAGTGGCAAAAGATCAGAATGCTTCTGACCATATGTTCAGCAGAGGAGCGAAATAATAAAAAAGTAAAAAAAAACAAGTAAAAATAAATCATGCAATAACATCTGTCTCTGTTTGCTACAATCACAGCAAAAAGCAAAGTGTGCACACTTGCATTTGAGTGCATATAAATACAAGCATAAATTACATTAAGCTTGTAAAATAAACTCAGAAAAAGTCAACAACAACAATAATAATAACGATGATGATTATATTAATAAATATATATATATATATTATTATATATAAACCAATGTATATAAAAAAGCCTAAATATCAGTTTTATTAAGGCTTAAGAAAATCCCTATAGGCTTATGGTGAGTTTACAGAGCAGGCATTTTCAATTCTTTCCTATGGGAGCTGAGCAACACTCTTGTGCCAGAGACAACATTGAAAGGAGCGAAAAGTTCAGAAATGCTTCCAAGAAATGAGGAACATAAAAAACAGTAGCCAATTGTTGTGATGCAGGTAATGACATTTATCATGACATGAGTGATTAAAAAAATATATATTGTGCTAGAGTGTGTGCTCAATTTAGTGCGCAAATAGTATTGTTTATATTTTGGATGTTTTGCAGTTACATATACAATAAGTATTTCAGATAGGACATTTTCATTGTAGCCGTATTAATAAAAGTTTCTAAATTGGCACTGTATATTTATTTTGGGCATTCGAGAAGAAAGCTAGCATCTTTCCAACTGTAATCGTGTGTATATATCGACCATGTGCTGAACAAAAACACAGATTAAACACATTCGCTGCAGAGTAAACACACCGTTAGGCTGGTTTCAGATCCATCTGAAATTGGACACGTTTACATAAAATGCATTCATGTGTACAACAAAGTGGAGCACAATACGTTTCGAATGAATGCAACTACAGCACTCATCTAACATTCCATCCCTAATTAAAATCAAGCAGACACAGTTCTGTACAGTCAGCGTATGAACTTACTGTGTTGGCAGTGGATTCCGTTGAAGCCTGATGGGCACTTGCAGACGTATCCAATGAATGTGTCGCCCCTGAACGTTTCACTGATTTCACAGGTGCCTCCATTGTGACAAGGGTTTGGATGGCAGGGTCCTGTAATTTAGACAAAATAGAAATGAGCAAGTGAGCTGGTGTGTTTTTGATGCATGTAAGTGTTCACAACCCACATGATGGGTTAGATAAACAGATGTGTTAGAAACAGACATCAGCAGTTTATAACTTGGCCTGCAGTGTAAGCGCTAGCATCTCTGTCTACAGTGGTTCAAGTAACAACTGCTGTGACATACAGAGGGGAAAAAAGATAAATGATTGAACACACAGAAGGAAAGAATGAAACGAGACAGCGTCACAGTGAGAAAGAGAGAAATGTAAGTATAAGCATTACTTGCTGAGGTCACCATGGGGCAGCTTGAGGGATAAATGATATCATGGGCACTGTATTACCTCTCCTGGCACTGTGTCAACACACAGACAGAGAGAGAGAGAGAGAGAGAGAAAGACAGAGACTGAAAGAGAGAGAGAACGAGCGAGTGCTGGCATTTCACTCAATCGTTATAATCAGTCACAGAGTTAAATTGGAGCAGAAATTAATAGATGAGTATGTGAAAAGGTCAAAGTAAGGTTATGGGAGCAATGCTCTTTGATAGGATGCCAGTTTAATGACATTTTAGATGGATTCAGTAAAGGTATGGCACATATGGCATATATTATGTAACTAGATAATATCTGGCATATTTACTTTTATTGTAGTGTTGTCAAAAGAGCCGGTACTTTGGTACCAAGTCGGTACTAAAAAAATGATCCTCTTCATAAAAGCACTGAGATATGGCGACCTCAAAAGGAGGAAACACTAAACTAACTAACAAAACACTTTAAAGACCGACACCTGGATCAAATGAAAGAGTTCAAGCAGGTAAGTTTCATTTTAATTTTTAATATCTGTTATGAATATTATTCCATATTCTAATTTGAATGTCGGATTGAAATAAACATCGGCGTTAGCGTAGCTAATCGTTAGCATAAGTGCGGCTGTTTCCCATACATTGATTTATTTGTGGCACAATATCAAAACTGACCGCCACAAATATATTTTCCAAAAGGCTTTGACTTCATTGAATAAACATGAGCATTGCACGTGTCAAAGTCGAAACCCGGTGCGAGAGTTCTTATATCACTGTATTTCTGAAGGAATCCGACAGTCTTCAGAAAATTGTGGATGTCATTTTCATTTAATCTTGCATGTAATGTCTGATAAAGCAGCGTTTGTGAGCGAAGCACTGCTTTGTTTACAGCGGTTACCGGGGAAACCTGGATCTCTCCCGCTCTACAAGCGCCTCCTGCTGGCAGATAATGAATTTGCATATATATGCCGCCACAACTTTTTAAATGAATTGTAAATCTAAAATGTGCATGTTAGAGAATGTACAAATGGTTAACATTGTTTATGTCATATCAGTGCATCAGAAAAGCAGTTCTGGGCTGTTTTTTTTTTTTAGCTAACTTAGTTTTTTTTTTTTGCTGGATAACTCTAGCAGGTTTTAAAAGCCCTTTAAAGTTAAATATGTACACAGTTTGGATTAAATGAAAGTATAGTCAGATGCTATCTCCTGTATAGACTTTACAATAAGATACTATTCATTAACATGACTTCAAGTTATTATCTAACATCAACTTACAGTGAGTGAACAATATATGTTTTACAACATTAATTAATGTTATTGAATGTTATTAAATACAAACACTTGATCATTCAGGTTTGTTCATTGTGCATTAAATAATTTTAATGGATTGATTTTATGTATTAGTAAATTTTGAAATTAACCTTAAGAAGAATAATTGCTATAACTATTGTTTATTGATAGGTCATGCTATCTAACACATGGGATCTTATTGTAAAGTGTCTTTAATACTAGTTTCCATCTATTTGATATATACTTGACTTAAAAGATATGTAATCTTATCTAAATTTATTATAAAAGCTGAAGTTTGTTATTTACTGAAAATTATATTTTAGCTGTTGTCAATGATCTAATGTTGCATTTGGTCAGACTCAGTCCATTACTTTACTTAAGTTTATTATATTTTCCTTTTACAGCTGCAGACTGAGAAAGATCCTGAAACACACCAGCAAACCCTAAAACAGATGACAGTTTACAGTTGTTTTTCATCAGAAATATGACAAAAACTTTTGGGTGAAACTTGTTTACTTTTTTTCATACTTTTATTACTTGCAGAACATTTTGAAATACTATTTTAAAAAAGTATAAAGAATGGCATTGATTTTTGTACATTTTATTTTTGCTTGACTTTATTAATAAAAATAATGTGTGTTTTAATTAGCATGTTTTTGTGTTTTGCTTTGGTACCGAAATTGGTACAGAGAACCGTGGATTTTCACTGGTATTCGTACCAAATACTGAAATTTTGGTAACGTGACAACACTGTTTTATTATAATGTGATTTGGCAGGAAAATTGTCTCCTCCAGCTGATTCTGATTCCTCTCAGGGTTTTTATCACTCTTTCACACTTTAAAATATGAGGTGATTACAGACTTTTCAAAGTCCAATTTCTTGACTTAATTTAAATATTCTGAGAATTAAAAAAGTTAATATGTCATGATTTATAGAGCAATTATCTACTTTCTATGCAAATTGCACAATTACATGCAAATCTCAACACAAATTTTGTGTTGTTTAACTTGAACTGTATTTGTGTAATTCTGAAATATGTATCTATTAATATGGGAATTTATACTATCGTTCAAAAGTTTGGGATAAGTAAGTTTTTTTTTTTTAATGATTTTGAATACATTGCATTTTAAAATATATAGAAATAGAAAACAGTTTTGAATATTTACAGTTTTTTATTTTATTAAATAAATGTGACCTTAATGAGCATAACAAAAATAAAATTGTTATGCTCATTAAGGTCACATTTATTTAATAAAATAAAAAACTGTAAATATTCAAAACTGTTTTCTATTTCTATATATTTTAAAATGCAATGTATTCCTGTGATGCAAAGTTGAATTTTAATCATTACTCCAGACTTTAGTGTCACATGATCCTTCAGAAATCATTCTAATATGCTGATTTAGTGCAAAAGAAACATTTCTTATCATCATCATCAATATTGAAAACAGTTGTTACTTTGATTGCATTAGTATGCATCGCACAGTGTCAATAAAATATTTGGCAATAGTTTTGTATTTCTGTTATTAAACAATATTGTTAAAAAAAACACTATATTGTATGTTTTCATATATTGGCTCCTAATGTTTTGAGTCTCTCTACTCCAAATGGACAAATGGAAAACCCACTTTGATTTCATCTGTTGCCTTGAAAAAAAAAATGAAACTGTTGTGAAGTCATGAATGACCAATCAAAATGCTGATTTCACTAAAAGTTTTTAAAACAACATTCAGGCACTGGACTGATTGTTCTAGAGTAGTTTCTAATCTCTTAGTCTTCCCAATTCCTGCATTTGCAAGCAAGTGAACCTCATAAGAACCCCCGGAGGGCCCATATCTCATGGCCTATCAATACTATACTGATGTTTAAAACATTAGAGTGCCTGCATCGGGTTGCATGCTGTCAAAAGTTTCTTGATGAAATTGCAGGGCAGTCAGTTTAATCTTTCAAAATATCAGCGGCAAGTTCTACAGGAGAGCATGGGTGGAGTAGAGAGATGTATTACAGACACATGATCAATGTGCTCTTAAGTGCAAAGACAGACTAAATGTAGATTGTTCAAAAGACATAAATTCCATTTTTGGTCCTAAGTAGAGTAACTCTGGATGAGAGTGTTGAAAATGTTTGTTTATGTGACACAGTAGGATCTTTGAGAGAAACACTACCGTTAAAAAAAACCTGGGGTCAGTAAGATTGATTGCATGGTTGATTGATTGATTGACTTGTTGATTTCAATACCGTTATTGGTCACACTTTATTTTAAGGTCCAATTCTCGCTATTAACAAACCATTAAGTACAACAAGTTTCTTGAGCACCAAATCGGCATATTAAACTTAGCTCAACTAGCTATCAAGGCAATATTTCAATTAATTTATTATATTATAATTTAAATTATATATACAGGTGCATCTCAATAAATTAGAATGTCGTGGAAAAGTTTATTTCAAAAGACATCGGCTAAACTTTACAGTGGACAAATCAGCATGATCAGCAAAAAACTAGTAGCATAGAGGGATGTAACGATTCACTAAATTTACGATGCGATAAAATTCACGATACAGATTACACGATACAATATTCTTACAATTTATTTATATATTTACTTTTTTACAAAATGAGATTTAAAAAAAATTATAAATGAAAAGGTGTCATTTTATTATTTCTCAGACAAAATGGGGCATATTTCTTTGTGAAATTGAAATGTTACATAATAAAACTAACTTGAAATTGAAAAAAATAATCCCAAATCAAGTAAAAAAATATACAAATAAAATAAATCTCTTCATATAAACAAAGGCTTTGCCTGTGCTCTATTTAAAATCAGAGGCAACCACTGCATTTGAATTACTATCCAAAATATATGCTAAATACATGTTATTTGGATTGTATAATTTCAAAATTTGAAGCAAAACCAGAATGGTCTGATTTTAGCTTTGTGAATGAGAAACAAATGTCACTCTCTGGATGCTTTCACACCTGTAGATCGATTGCTTTGATCGGAAACAGGGATTCAAATTATTACAATGTTGCTTTTTATTCTTGGTGCGGTTCGCTTTCACACGGCAATGTTTCTAAATGGACCAAATTTGTTAATACAAGTCACGCACGAGTAAACTGTTGTCTCATTGTTTTCCGGGATTCCACTTAGCTGTCAAGCATGTCATCTGACAGAATGGACAACAGCTTTTTTTTTCTTTTTTTTTAGCTGTCGTTACATTAATTTATCATTTTGAGCAGGGGTCCAGGATTCATCGGGAAAACATTTTTTAAATGCACCTACTCGGAAGTAGAGCAAATAAGATGGCATTATAAAATGAAAAAGTGTGCTTTGATTCTGAATGGCGAAGACGTGCTTACCCACAGACATTCACAGGTTCATTTTGAAGTATTAGCAAAACAA